GCATAGAAAGGTTCTCTATTCTGCAATGCATTGCTACATCATATCGTACACTTTCATGTAGATTTTGGATGAACAATGCTTTAAATGTGGGATCTTCTTCGTCAATATCTGGAGAACTGCAGCCCTCAAAATAAACCTGTCTCAAGCGAAAGTAATATTCTCTGGGCGTTTAATGTTCTCCTTGGAGAACTAAAGATGCCTCAAGCGTTGCTAACGCCGGATCTCTGTAACCAGAATATTCTTCTTTCAGTGTTAGAAATGCTACACCTTATGTAGGATTTACTAGCTCTTTAGCTTATGCTTCACCCTTTTCTGTGATATCAAAGAAACACTTTCTTTCAGTGTTAAAAATGCTACACCTTGTTTAGTATTTACTAGCTATTTTAGCGCATGCTTTAACTGTCTCTGAGGATTTATAAGCAGTTTGGCGCAAAGCTTAACCATTAAGGATTTACTAGCAACTTAGCTTATGATTCACCTTTCTTTAAGGGATTTTAAGCAATTTAGTTTGAATCCACCCCCTTTCGGTCGGGTAGGACCACAGATTAACTTACGATAAATCTGGCAACAAATCTTGTTCTACACAATATAAAATAAGGGTTTAGGAGTCTTATCAGACTAACAGACAAAGCAATTTAGGTTAAATTTCTAGGCCTCTAACCTATTTTGGACTGGAAATGACTTTGAAATAGCATAACTTGGGAGTTTTCATTTTTTGGGATGTAGTTATAGAAACCACAAATGGCAGCATCTAGTTATAGATGTGCATAAATTTTGGTCAAACAATAAGATTAACTTGGGTGTTAAATCTTTTGTTTTAGTTGGACCAAAGTGATCAGATTGATTTGAATCATCTGAGTTTTGCTTTGAAGTAAAGTTGGTTATCACTAGCTGAAGAGATATTTTGGAGTTATTAGATTTAGTTACATTTTCTATATTTTGATGCTCCAAGAATGTCAAAGGTTATAAAATATGATCATGGCATATGGCACAACAACCTGGAGATTCTGGTTGATCAAGCCAGACTTTCCCTCCAGCTATATTGTTTCCCAGTATAACTGTGACACCAACCACAGGCAGCGCAGGTCGAACACCCATCCTTACTTCTCTGTCAAAGAGTTCTGAGTGAAGCATGAGCTTATGTACTGACAGAAAACACAGACATGCCCATACCTCACACAGGTATAGATAATCCAGTGTCAGACTCATCTGAAAAATACAAAACTGATGCCAAAATGAACAAATCATATGCACCAGTATCTCTCAAGATAGTAACTGGTACCCTCAAGTTACTACCAAGTACCAACTAAAGAAACATGTCCTTCCATAAGATATGGCTTATAAGTACTCAAATCAGGTTTTTCAACAAATAACCCGTCAATCATTTTGTGAGGAACATTCAAAGAAACTGACGCAGCACGTGCTGCTGGCTTTTATGTCTGCATTTCAGCAAAGCACAGTCTTTCTTCCAATTACCTTTTCTGTGACAATAATTACAAATTTTGTCTGAAAAAAATTGCAGTCTGAAAAAGAACCAGAACGTGTTTAACGCCAGTTTGGAGTACTCATCCAAACTGTGTGTTCTACACCAGAATATTTATGTGTCAAATCATCAGCCAACACAGCAACTTTTGAAATTCTACTGTTGGAGATTTATTAAAGTCTTCAAAAGACATGACGGAATTCTTAATCATAAAGCAATGCCTCTAAACTGATGTAAATTGCTGCAAATCTGTGCAACATAAATTAACAAACCTGAACCCCCATCTAACTACCTATCCAAAAACTAACTAGCTCAACCCTAGTCTTCAGAGATGAGGGACGGTGGGTACTTACGCACTAAATACCACTAGGGTGGGAAAGGCAACGAGAAAACTAGCAAACCCCCAACACTATGGCTGTGCCCCCGAGACAACTGCTCCAACCATATGATCTCACACTAATGTTTTGAGCACATGAATCCTAAAAGAGGAGACACGCTAAAGGGGAACAAGTTCAGACAATGGAGACATAAGATGAGAAGAAAACAAACAACTTACCCCAAACCAGTGAAAGAAGAAGAAGACTTAAGATTACCAACGCCACTTTTCAATTAACAATGCTTTACTAATTTAGAAAAACTGTCAGGCAAACTGTAACATAAGTTAGGACAGACGCCCAATTTATTATTGCCTGGCTCTTGGACCATAACAAATTAAAGGGAAACCACACATGGGGATAACTTAAAGTGGTATTTATTTAACAAAAAAACATAAATGGTTGGAGAGGAGAGGGAAAGAGAGAGGTAGGTGGCAGAGAAGAACGAGCTGAGCTGCTCCAAGCTGGTCCTGTCTGAGCTGATCTGCTACCAGCTGGTGTTGATCATCTGACTTGGGCTGGGGCGGAGCTTGGGCTGCAGAGCTTGGTTTGGACCTCCAGGTGAGGAAGATTGGTGCTCCTTAAGATGGAGCATCTGATTGTTGTGGATTAATAGAGTCAGTTTAACATGCTTTGATGTGTTATCAGCGGTATGAAGAACAAATAAGACATTTGGCAATCTAATTAAGAGAAAATTAAAATTGAACTAGCAGACTTTACAGAAGAATTCAGAAAGTTAATGTTATAAAAGTTATAAACATTAATTGAAATAACTGAAAAAACAGGGCTAATTAACAGAGATGGGGACTTGAGTTTGTGACTCTTACTCGAGTCGCACTTAAGTCGCATATTTAATGACTTTAGACTCGACTTAGACTTGCATATGAAGGACTTCAGACTCGACTAAGACTTGTGATTTCTGCCTTGTGAACAATATTTTA